ACTATGCCGGTGTGGACTGGAGATCAGCTTTGAAGGCTTATTTGCAACTTAAGAGGACTAAAGTTAAAGACTCCTTCCAGTCTGGGTTCACCTGGGCTTCCAGAACACTTTTTTAGTTGTTCATGGAAACGCTCGACCATCCAATTAGCTGCCGGATGGTAAGCAGTCGTTTGGACGTGGCGGATGTCTAGTTGCTTAATTAGTTGTGGGAAAACACCCTCAAAGTGAGAATCTCGATCGGTTTTATAACAGCAGGACAACCAAAGCTACCTATCCAAATCTCTACAAGGGCTTGTGCGGCTGCTTCGTTGGATACGGAACACAAAGACACAGCTACCGGGTGAAACAGGCGAGGATGTAGCGATCCTTTTGATAGTGATAAAGATCTCTATCAGTCTACGTGGATGTCCTTTTTGATGTTATGTCAGACGAAACAGTTAGTGATGAGTTTTACTGAGACGCGGATGCCTGGATGTGACAAATTATACAATAATAATAATTAGACTGACAATACTAGTAGTGTATATTTCACGGAGCCCGTGAACCATGCACAAAGCATGATCATATGTTCAAAGTAATCATATGTATATTAATAGTGTAGGTTTATAAAAGGTCCAATTAGGAGGTCTACACAATATAAAAATGGTAAAGAGCGGAACGAAAACGCAGCGCGAAAAGAATACAGAGCGAACAAGATCACTGATGAATATGTTGAAGATGGAGGATGCACTGAATAACCATGTCAATGGAAATTGAAGTAAGAGCAAACCTGGTATCCAGAGGATTGGACGTGCGGCAATAGTAGAGCAAAATACGGGGAGACAATCTGTGAAATAAATGAAGGATGACAATGGAGAGATGCGGACAGCAATGGATGGGAAGAATCACAGCAAGTTGGTAGGTTTGTTAAAGTGCATGCTTCTCTCTGTGTTGCAATACAAGTCGCTTGTGAGGACGCGTTCATTGGGTTCGGGGCTTCAATCAATCATGGAGTGATTTAGATTATTCAGATTAGGCGTTGGTCGCTTTGATGCGGGACTGACCACACACTAGACACCTAACCTTAAAATACCATGAGGTGAGGGAGAGGTTGTGATCCTCAAACTGGCCCGGAATCCAGACGCATGTGGTCAAAACGTTTGACAAAACCATGCCCAACAACCACTGCTGGAGCCAACTTGTCCATTGTGCGTAAAGACTCCGAGAATTAGATCAGTCCATGTAAACCGATTCTCGAACAAAAAGGCGAAGTATGAACCAGAATCGATTATGTTCAACGTATCGAGTTTTTATTCCAAATTCGTGTAGTGATGGCACTTGGGTATAGACAGTGAAAAAGGCGACCTGGTTAATATGTGCAACGAGGTTGAGCCAAGAGGATCAAGTGAAAACGATATCAGAAACATTGCGTTCACGGAACAAGAGGTGACAATACTTTAGCATAATTAACCATTTTGCACCCGTTACGAACTCAAGCCAGCTTGCCATACTCGCAGTAAAATCCGTAAATCGCTAAGGAGAGAGCGACGCATTTTGGTTAGAACCATTAAGGAAAAACCTCACATGTGGTGCCCTCAAGTTCTATATCTACCTGACACGTTTTTCTCCCGCATCGGGATGCATTGTTGGGCGATTTCGTGACTACGTCACCGGCTGATTTTGCCGCCGTAGCGTTTCAGTAGAAACAAATAACAGCTGTGATTTTTACTTTTAAGCAAAGTGGAGAAAAAATACTATTTCCAAAGTAAATACTACAATAGTTCCCGTAACAGTGGGTGACAGACTAGACAAGACCGGCCGTAAGTGATTACACTAGATCAACTCACCTACGTTTCCAGCGCTGTCGGCTGTTAATCCTCAACCACTCGTCTCTGGTCATGATTGCAGAATCCGAACTGTGTTAAATGCAACGGCAGTTGTCTAAATCTCCTTGGGTATGGTAGAGTTTCTAAAAACGCTTCATTCCACGACGAATTGCAAACCAAGATAAGCTTCAGCTCGGTGATCGCTACCAGGGAAGTAACCGAGTGCACAAGTATCGACACTAGATAGATTTAGAGTAAAAACCAAATCAAGTGTTTTTCCTGGTAGCGGACGTAACGTGTTGAGTTCAGTATCCAGTGCGAATGCATGAGATGAAATCAGTAAGGTGAGAGGGAGAGCTGAGGGTGTTCCAGTCAATATTAGGTGCATTGAAGTCACCAGCGATTAGTTTGGAACACCTGGGCAATGGGGCTAGGTAATTGAAAGCGTCAATAATGGGCAGAACGTCTGACGCACAAGTACCGGGAGGTCTGTATAGGCATTCGTTTTGGAGGGAAGAGCCTGGTAGTAGCAATGTTAACCTAACTGAATCCTCAATAGAATTTAGTAAGGGGTAATCATGAGGGGTTGAGCGGAAGTGACATTTTGTTTACAATAAGCAGCCCCCACCTCGGCGACTTCTGCTTTTGTTAAATAAGTGGTTACCTGTCAGCGATATTTGCTCGGATGAGGTGGATTCATAAAGCCTAGATTTGATAACGAATATTAGGTCAGGGCTAGAATTAAAACATTATTCTGGAGGGAGTACAACATATTCATGATGGAGCGACTTTTCAAAAGAAGAAGGGAAATTATGTAATGGCTATCAGCTTGCTTCCTACACATGTTGTCCTCGGTAAATCTATTTTGATGCTTCAGAGCCAAATCAGAATCACCATTTTCATTTCAGTTAAGGTTTAGGAACTCCGTTTGAGCCTTTCCGCTCAAATGGTGTCGGTGCTACGTGGACTAAAATGTCCTTCGTATACCTTGGTTTTTTCACTTGAACTATCCTGCTTCTCCCACCTGATCCTACTCCGTCTAGAATCTTGCCTGCTGAATGTCACTAAACTTCAGCCAGGTTGTCTCTCGCTTTTCTATTTTCATTCTTGCTTCATACAAATTTTGTCCTCGATGAATCTGTTTTGATACTTAAGAGCCGAATCAGAATCAACACTTTTATTTAAATTAAGGTTCAGGAACTCCGCTTGAGCATTTCCGCTCAAATGGTGTCGGTGCTACGTAGACTAAAATTTCCACCGTACATGAATTGTGACACTATATTCATTCCGGTACCATATCATTTTAGTAATGTTCTGTCGCATGCTCCGTTTCCCCCTCTCCCTTCGCTCTTCAGCTGGATACTACCCTGGACTGCTGCATGTCGCCTCTTTGTTCAAGATGCGGTTGTCTTGGGCCTGCCGAAGGCTTGGGGTCCTCACCCACTACGGACAATTTGGCTCCGGCAATGGTTGTTGGGCGCGGTTGTATCCATCGTTCATACTACATGCGTCCGCGTTCCGGACCAGGTTGTGGATCACACCCCTGCCTCACGTACATGTTGTTTTGAGGTTAGGTGTCTAGCGTCTAGTCAGTCCCACATCAAAACGATCAACGTCTAATTAATCTAAATAATCTAAATCACTCCTTGATCGACTAAAGCCCCGAACCCAATGATTTTGTCTCCAGAAGCGAGTTGTATTGCAGCATCGAGTGAAACATGTTCTTTTACCGACGTATTATTCGGGCTGTATTTCTTCCTTTCTATCGCTGTCCTCACGCCTCCACTATCAGGCAGCATTTGTTCCAAAAACCGCTTCTCTGCATTTCCCAGCACTGTTGCCGTACGTCCAATCCTTCCGAGACCAGCTTTACTTTTACTTTCAGTTCTAGTGACATGCATTTCCAATGCATCCTCCATCTTCCATAATTTCGTCGGTGACCTTGTCCGGTTTGTGTTCCTTTCGCACTGTGTTTTCGTTCTGATCCCCACCATTTCTATTGTCTAGCCTATGTACTTACACTGTTATTGTACATATGCTCGCTCTGATCATTTGGTCATGCCTTGTGCATGTCTCACGGGCTTCCTAAAATATGCATCTATTAATAATATTGGTTACTGAAGGATGATGCGGTAGGGGCAATTATATTTGTAGAGGGGTTATGACATCCTTAGAGGCAGTATGAGATTGACGCGCGTTGAGATTAGTTTGTAAAGAGGAGCATAGGAGGGGTAGAGGGCAATGCATCAATTCAGGTAAAACACTGGGGCAGTGAACATAACTAAGTGATAGATTGGGAGGGTGGTGATGGGATGAGAATCCGTGGGAGACCAACGACGTTTTGGGATGGGTAGTTTTGGTGTTTATTTACGCTTTGTGATTTTGTTCGTCAGTAAGTAACATGGGAAGAAATAACGGACCCATCTCAGGATGTGCATAAACAGGACTGGGGCTTGCCATCGCTCTTTTGCTGGAGTAGGGATATAAGCTGGAAGGCGTAGATGAGGGGTCACTGGTGGGGGAAAGAACGGATTTTATCCTGGAATAGGCTACTCAAGAGGTCCGGGAGAGTATCGGAGGATTTGTGGGTAATAAGCATGCCTTAGATTTGGTGGTATAAATTGAGGTTGATCCAGTGGATAGGAGAGAGTAAGGTTTTCGCCTGGGAATACCATGGAACGACTTGGGATTGGACGGGGTCTTCTATGTAGTTGGGCTCGAGTAAGTCCACGAGGGAGGGTGAGGGTGGTCGAATTTGGCGCACAGCTATGGTGGTAGGGTTAGTAATACGCATTTGTGGCAGACTTCGAGTGAAGCAAAGTGTGTATAGTCAGTTCCAAGTGGAGTTTGGTCCTCGTTTGGCCTATGTAAGTAGGACGTGGTATGGGTATCGCCCGTAGGCGGTGATTGTAAGCAGAATTAGCGGAAGAATGGACAAAAAAGTAAAGGGCAGGTGAAGAGGAATTTCAGAGAGGTACTGAGAGTTTAGGAGCGTGTTTAGCAACCCGGCGGGGCGATAAGGTATTTGTATAACTATTGTGACCCAATAACATACCTCGTTTAAAATTTTCGTTAGCGTTTTGCTATGCTTCTCGCTCATACCCATTTCAGCTGGGTTTCACTTTAGATTGCCCAATTTTACCTTCATATTCCAAACTCGGTTGGTTTGGGCGTGGCGAAGCCTTGGGGTATACACTAACCATGGACAATTTGGTACCGGCAAAGGTTGTTGGGCGCGGCTACATCCACCGTTTTGACTGCATGCGTCCGCATTCCGGACCAGGTTGAGGGAAGCACTCCCTGTCTCACCNTCACCTGCAAGGTGCTTTAGATTTGGGTGTCTAGCGTGTTGTCAGTCACACATCAAAGTGACCAATGCCTAAATAACCTACATAACCCAAATCATTCCACTGCTAATCGAAACTCCCACAGCCATCGAATGAGACCCTGTAGAAGTCAACTGTGTCACCACACATATAAAAAACATAGTTTGACGGATGCTTAAGTCTGTTCTGTTTCATCCTATCCGTTCTTGTGCCTGCTTCCATTTATTCCTGTCTATCGACCTGCCGGCCGCCTCTCGTTATTCCACTGATTGATTGTCGTACGTTTAAAATCCTTCCTGCACTAGTCTGAGTCAAAGGGTTGGCGCAGACCATTAATTCTTGTCTATCTATCTACGTAGTCCAGGCTGTCAGTGCTTCTACCTACCAACTGTTCAACCTTCACCGTACTCGTCGATCTTGACCTCCAATGACTTTCACGTTCCTTCGTCGAGATCTACCCACTGCACCAACAAGCTCGCAGTCAGTCACACGATAACGGTACCACGGGTCAAATGTCTATCATTACAGCTAAAGTCTCGACCACGAAGAGTATCCAAGCTACATGGGGCAAAAAGCTTGTTGGCCGTGTCCATGAAGAATAAATGTTAAAAAAGAAAACGTTCCGCTCGAATTCTGCTGATGTTTAGGGGGTAAAGGTTCAGTGTGGTAAAACGGATGGGGTATGAGACATCAAAGAGACCTGAGGCTAGCTTTGTGGCTGCTCGCGAAACTCGTTCGAGGGAGTTACGATCGCCCAGTAGCTCAGAGCACGTGATTCGGGCTCCGCATTCTAACAGCGGCCTTACATAAGTGCCATATAAGAGTTGAAAGTCTTTGTTATCAAAGCGAGGAAAGGAGCGCTTGATAAAAATCAGTAACCCAAAAGTCAAAAGAGATAGAGAGTTAGATAACCAGAAGCCAAGGATCTTGTGCTGGTTGATAGTTTGAAGTCGGGAAGCGTTGCTTAAATTAAAGGTGTGCGCGCAGCCCCTGGTAAAGGACATACTTACATATGTGTCATCATTTATTGACAAGCTCCAGTCTGATCACCATGTTTTGGTGATATCCATGGCTGCCTGCACTGCTGATGTGTCACTCCCCCAGATTGTGACATCGTCAGCATAGACATCAATGTGGAATAGGATTCTGTCCGGGAGGTCATTTATGTATAGGATGAAAAGGAGTAAACCTAGAACGGATCCATGGGGAACACCTTTTGTTATCGGGGAAGAGTTAGAGAAGGAGGAGAAGGAGCAGGAAGATGGAAAGCTGCCCAGAAGATTAAGAAGCTTGCCGCTAATACCATACATTTCCAGCTTGTGCAATAATAGAGAATGTGGTACTCGATCAAAGTCTTTGGCAAAATCTATGGAAATTGCATGTGAGATTTTATCATCATTATAGGCCTGCGTTAGCCTTTCCGTGACATATAGCATATTGGTGATGCATGATCTGCTAGGAACGAAGCCACGTTGAAGGGGAGAAAGGTTGTTTTCCTTCAAGTGTTCAGTATTATGTCTCTTAATGAGATGCTCAAACGTTTTCCTGGGGGCGCTAGTTAGACTTATCGGTCTGTAGCATCTGGCTTGATGCCGGGGTCCCTTTTTGTAGCTCGGTGATATGGTAGTCTTCTTCCAGTCATCAGGGAATTCATCTTTATCTAGTCAGTTTTGAAACAGGCACCCGTAATGTGGGGCTAGAACAACTGCCGTCTCTGAGTATTCTGGGATGGACCTCCTGTGGGCCCATTGAGCTATAAGGGCTTAGTGACTAGAATTTTGAGTACTTTTTCGGTCTGAACAATGAAGTGCTCTAAGGGGTTATACCTGACTTAGGCTGTAGAACAGGAAAGAAAGTGTGTGGAGCAGGGTTGAAAATATCTTGGAAGTGAGTTCGGAAGCTGTCCGCTACTACTTCGAGTGAGGTAGTTGGGGAGCCGTCCGGAAGTTTCAGGCATAGAGTAGAGGAACTGGGTCGCCCTTTATGGCGAACAATTTTGAAGAGACAGGATTGGTTTCTTCTTGCTCTGACTAAGCTATCTTTTTGTTGCCGGTTGAAGAATTCCTTGATCTTGCTCTTGCATACGTTCCGGAATAGTTTGAATTTATCCGCGTCACTATCCAAATTTCTGAGCTTGTACCTTGCAAAGAGAACGTTCCGTTCGTTCAGAATCCGACTAACTGAACGTGGAAGAGGAGGGCGGCTTTTGGTTGGGTGAATATCTTGGGAACGAACAAGCAATCGCTTGTTCGGAGTACGTTCTCAATTTGATCATCAAATCCGTTTGTTTCTGTAGATAGGTTGACAGAGGTCAGATTTGCTGCCAAGTAATCTCTTAGAGCAGCGAAGTTGGTCCGCTTGAAGTACCGCGAAGCTCTTGGTGCAGACTTATAAGGTGGCCAGTGAACGATGAAGTCAGAGTTCAGGAGAGAGTTGTCACTCTTGCCACAGGGGCAGAGAGTGTAGATCTCGTCAATTTGGTGCTGATTGTTCGTTATCACCAAATCGAGTAGAAAAGGGGACTGGCCAGAGCGAAATCTGGTGGAAGAACATACACTTTGGTGCCATATTCTATCAGTATTAAGGTTTAAAAGGGGCTGACCAAAGAAAGGTATCACTTAGGTTATTCTTAGCCCAGTCAATAGCCGGAGCGTTAAGGTCGCCGGTTATAAGGACGTGATTAGAGTGGCAGCAGGATGGAAGATTTCGAATTTAGTTTTTGAAGGTCCTGTACTTGCGTCTTGTCGCTGGTTGGGGAGGGCTAGATGAAACCTAACCATAGAGTGTCTATCATGGGGATGGGATCCTGGGTTACTAAGATGACTGGAGGAAGGAACTGCCTCAGGAAGATAGCTACACGACCGATACGTCCTCGGTTTGCGTCGCTCCTCAAACGTATATAACCATATATTTTGACTTCCCCGTCTAAGATTCCTGGAGTCAGCCATGTCTCCGTTAGAGTTGAAATACGTGGCTGAAGATCTTCAACCTTTTCTCTGATTCAATTACCTTGATAAACCGTTGGTATTTATGCATTTTAACACAATTGTTTACCAGAAATTTCAAGGGACATAAGGTAAAAAAAGCGTAATGAGCCTCAGTTTCCACTGGAGTTACGTTTTGAAACGGCTCCTTCCTCTTGTATTACATTTGCGGTTTTGGCTGGTGCGCACGTTTCGGCTTTCTGCGGTACAAGTACCGGGCAGTACCTGGGTTTGGTCTGCTTTATTGGCTTCACGCGA